CGGGCTCACGCTGCAGCACGGGCGACACTGGGCACGTGATGTCCCTCTGCAGGGACCAATCTGGACCCCTCCTGGTGCCTTTGACAGCTTTTCAAGCAATGGTTCTCCATCTCTGCACCATCTTCTCCATCTGTAGCAATTAATTCCTCCTGGGCTGACCCGAAGGCACCAGCCCACTGATCTATTGTGGGGTGAGCTGTGCTGAGCCCTGAGCCGTGGCAGCACGTTGGTGCTGGGCACAAGGAGGTCCTCGTGTCCCCAGTGCCACCGGGGGACACACATACGGGGCCAGCAATTGGAAGTAACTGATTCTTTTTCGGCTTCATCCTGCTGCAGGCAGGTGTGAGATGTCAAATTTTCTGTCTGATATTGTGACAGTGACAGCCTGGTTGCAATCAAGCTCTAGTCAGGGTTTTCTCTCTGTGCAAATGGCCTCAGGAAGGTGCAGCCAGAGGAGTCATAGGTCTGGGGCCTGCCTCGAAGGCTCGAGGAACCAAGGAGAGGTTGCTTCTGTCTTGAGGGCCAGGGAAGACCCCTTCACAGACATTTTTTTGGGGGGGAATGGAACAGAACAGATGAGAAACTGTCCTTCATAAGCTGAAGGTTGCATGCGGGCAACCTTATCCTTCATCGCTTCCTTAGCCTTCATCCCCCTCCTTATCCTTCATCCCCTCTATCCTTCATCTGCCCCAACCTTCAGCCACATATCCCCGGGGCAAGGGAGGCTTCCCTGCCCTGCCTGCCCGGATCCTGGAGATCCCTCTCCCTGAGGAGCATCACCCAGATCCATAACACGACTGAAAGCGTTGGAAGACTCCGTTTGGCCAGACCCATCTCCAGCATGAGGGCTGCAGAGCCGGAGTGGCTGCGCCCTGCGTGAGCAAGCCCAGGAGATGTTTCCATCCACCTTCCAAGGGTGGAGGAGAGCAAGAAGATGCATCTTTGCCCTCTCTCCTCCTTGGAGGATGTCCCACCTGCTGCCTTGCAAATGCCCAGGGGTGAAGCTGGGGATTTTGGCAGCATCGGGAGGTTTTGCCCAGACACTTGGCTTTCCTGCGTGCTCGCTGAATAATTCACACGGCCTGAGAAGAACTTATTCCAAGGGCTATACAACATTATTCCTCTCCTTTCCATCCGTCCTGTCTAACCCTGCAGTGTGCCCGTGCTGTCTTGTGACCAAATCATCTTTTTTTACCCCACCAAAGCTGCAAAACGGTCCAGTTACACCAGTACCTCGTAACACTGGTACTCACATCGCAAGCCTTGACTTGGAATAAATTAGTGTCCTTTTCCCAGTCCCCATCTCTCTGTAGATGTGTCCTAGGGTGCTGCCGGGGAGATGCCGTGTGGTGGGTGCAGAGAGGTCCCAGGGCTGCAGAAACTGTTCGGTTTTGCATGAGAACGGCTGAGCTGAGCCTTTGAAATTCCTGACAATGGGATCATGTTGACCCTGTTCAGCCTGGGGGATGCGGCTGCTTCA